CCAAGTCGTATCTTTTCTTTCCCCTTTTGTACTCGAACGTCCTGCACCTGCTGCCACCATATTTGGGCATATGCTGCTTGAGTCTAGTAACCACAAATTTGACTTTGCTTCCTTCCGGTAGTCTTTCCTCTGAAGAAAGCCTCCACACTATCTGGCCTGTTCAAGAATTCATCAGGCTGAAATTTTCCCGAAAAATCAAAGGGCATCCACTCTCGCATCTTGATCCAACCAAGCTAGGGCGCGGACCAACCTATCCTCCAACGAGGGTTTCTCCCTTCGATAGTGAAAATGATTTACACTTTCTTCTCTTGATTCCAATGATTCAAAAAGCGGACCGCTCAGTGCCTAGGCAGTTCGAAAGGCCTGGGCGCGTCGCCCAGAAGTGGCCAAACTAGGCAGTCTGTCCCTGAGCGGCCGCCTAGGCGGTACGGAACTAGGAGGCCGCTCAGGGCCTGTGCCCCGCTTAAGGACGGAAAAAAAAAGTGAGGGCATTTTATGTCAATTTTTTTTATTTTTACGGCCCAAAAATTAGGGTTTTAGGTTCATTTGAAACCTAAACCTTGTTTGAACCAAATTTAGAGAGAGAAAACCACCAAAAAACTAGATTGTGGTGAATTTTTTAAGATCGAAGGGTTACTCAAAGTTAACCAAAATTGATCAAAACATCATCTATTGGTATTATATTTACTTTTTGATGTTTTTTAAATTCTTTAGGGGGTATTTTAGAAGATTTTGAGTATTTAGAAACATCTTTGAGGTGGAAGTTTGAAGATTGAGTAATCAAACTCAAAGTAAGTGATTTTTTTTATTGCTTTAGTAATTTGTATTATTTTTGAGATGTTTTCTTCGGGATCTAATAGGAGTGGTGATACCGATTGGAAGTATGGCTATAACCCAGTTCCTAATGATAAAAATTGCATAAGATGCAATTTTTGTGAAAAGGAACCAAAAAGGGGTATAAACCGGTTCAAGAAACATCTTACCGGTATCAGGGGGGATGTTGCCCCATGTAAAAAGACTTTTGATGCTGTTAAAGAGGAAATAAATAATTTTATGAACTTGGTGAAAATTAAAAAAGATGAGAGATTTGCCTCTATAGCAGAGATTAGGTCTGGGGTTTGAGTCAATTTTGATGATGATGATGATAGTGGTGAGGAAAGGATTGGGGAGGGATGTCAAGGGGTTGAGCAATCCATTAGTAAGAGAAAGGGGAAGTATTGTAATTGCTTCTGGTTTTGGGACAAAGAAGCCTCGAGTTAGAGGCCCTATAGATAGTTTCTTACCTCGGCCTAACCCTGAGATTGCAGGAGAGAAAACAAAAAAGCAATTCCACCATTGAAAATAGAATTAAGAAGGAAGAGAGAGATAGAGCTGCCTATTATTTGGCTACATGATTTTATGAGGCGGGCATTCCTTTCAATACCGTTCGCTTGAATAGTTTTTATGCTGCAGTAGAGGCAATTGGCCAATTTGGCCCAGGGATGAAACCCCCAACCCCATATGAGCTTTCAGAGCCTTTTTTAGAAAGGGCAGCGAGTGCCATGAAGGAAGCTGTAGAACTTAAAAAAGATGCATGGGCTCAGTATGGGGTTTCTCTTATGACTGATGCTTGGAGTGATATGACAAGAAGAAGTCAAATGAATTTGCTTGTCAATTCTTCAGTAGGGACTGTTTTTTTTAGGTCTATTGATACCTCTGATCATATCCTTGATGCCCATTACATATTTCAAGTGAAGGAAATCAAGGAGATTGGGGAGCATCTTGTTGTACAGGTTGTCACAGAGAATGCTGCTCGTAATGTTGCTGCATCTAATTTGTTGTGCATAGCTTATCCTAGAATCTTTTGGACGCCATGTGCAACACATTGTATAGACTTCATGCTTGAGGCTCTTGGCGGTTTAACCAAGACATCAAGTGTAGTGAAGAAGGCCAAGTATGTTACGAATTTCATTTATAGCCACCATATCACCCTCAGCATGATGCGTACCTTTACAGAGGAGAAAGAGATTGTGAGGCTTGGGGTCACGAGATTTGCGATCTGGTACTTATGCTTAGATAGCATAAATTCGAGGAGAGTACAGTTGAGGCAAATGTTTACCTCGGATGAGTGGAGAGCATGCAAGTGGTCTAAGGCTCAGGTTGGGAAGAAGGTGAGAGAGATATTATACTTTCTAAGGCTTTTTGGCGAGGGGTGAAGGACGCTCTTAAGGTATTTTTTCCTCTTATCCAAGTCCTTCACATGGTTGATAGTGACAAGCCTTCTATGGCCTATATATATGATGCTATGGAGAAATGCAAAAGAGAGATAGCCCAAAATTTCAATGATGAATAAACCCGCTACAAACCTATTTGGGAGATTATTGAGGATAAGTGGGATAAGCAGCTACATCAGCCATAGCATGCAGCTGGTTATTTTTTGAACTCAGCTTTGTTTTATATTGACAAGGATATACGAACAAATGATATAATTATGGATGGATTTAATAAGTGTGTAGAGGTGCTAGTCTCTGATCTTGAAATGCAGGATATTATATGTGTTGATGAGCTGATAAATTACAAGTACTCCTTAAAGTCTTTTGGGAGTATAATGGCGATGAGGCAAAGGACCAAAATTAATCTAGGTATTAAATATTATTATATTAATAATATTCTTAAGTTCATGTTTATCAAGTTCAACTGTTCAAGTAATCAAGCATTTCTATTATTTATTACTGATTTTTTTTATTTTTTTGCAGCCCATTGGTGGAGTTAACATGGGCGTAGTTCTCCAAATTTACCAAAGTTGGCCGTTCGGATCTTAAACCTAACCACTTCTTCATCCGGTTGTGAGCGCAATTGGAGTACTTTTGAAGGGGTAAGGCCATTAGGGTGATTTGTATAATTTTATAAATAATCCATGAATCATAGATATTAAATTTTAATTAGTTCACTTTCATTTTATTTTGTTAGGTTCATACAAAGAAAAGGAACATGCTTGAATCAAAGAAGCTCAATGACCTTGTCTATGTTAAGTACGATCGATTCTTGAAGGACAGATTTGCTAAGAGAGATAATAGAGACCCCATCAGATAAAAAAATATGGACAATGCTATGGAGTGGTTAATTGATGATGATGAGATCGAGGGGCATGCAGGATTGACATGGGACATAGTAATGGATGCTTCAGGGACATCAGCTAACCCTCCTAGGGCCACTAGAGCTTCTGCACAGAGAACAAGGGTGGAGAAAGAGGAGGAAGAAGGGGCAGATTTACAAGAGACAGAGGAAGACGAGTCGCAATATGTCGAGAAGGGTGACGACTCCGTCGACTCCGATGAATATGATGCTAATGCAGCTGACCCAAGATTTTTTGATGATGAATGAATGTTGATTGTTGAATGATTATTAAACTTTGTTACTTTGAAGTTGGAACTTTGATAGAAGTATTGTGTATTGAACATTTGAACTATTGAAGATTCTTTTGAGTCGTCAAGTATTACTTTCATAGTTTTATAATTTGGTTGGTTGGCATATTTTAAGTTTTAATTGGATATGGATTGTGGAGTATGAACCGACTTATAGATTATGGTTATGCTTATCGAATGTGTGCTAAATGCTAATATGTAGTATAATTTGAATATAACAGATAGTCTGATACTCAAATACCTACAAAATCCTTATTTGGATTCAACTGAACTGCAGAATCTTTATTTGGATTCAACTGGGTTGCCCAGGTTTTGGGCGCCCGCCTAGGCGCTGGGCGGCTTGGACCCCAATCCGCCTAGGACCGGCCTAGCACTTTTTGAAACACTGCTCGATTCCTCACTTTGGTGAGTAATCAATTCTCAATCAAAGTGGGCAAGATGACTCACCAATTGTTCATTTTATTGGATCTTCTCAACAATTCCTCATATTCTGCACTGGGCAGTGCCTCCTCCTTGGCCTCCATGTCCTCCTCTACTGGCCATAACTATGTCCAAAATAGATGGTTCCTGCTCCGATACCACGTGATGTAGAACATAGTGAAAAGAGTTCACAATCGGGTAGAAACTAGGGACTTCAACTGTGATCTAAAGACAATGGGCTGAAGTAACAAAGCCTAGCTTCAATCACTTGTATGAGGGTCCAAGGACTACCCCAAAATGTAAACTATATTCCTGAATTCCAAAAATTTTACAGCAAAAACAGTGATTCCAGCAAGGTAAAAGTCTTCATCTTTTAATAGACTTGGCTTGGCTCCCAGGCCAAAGTTCGCCTAGCTTTCCTAGGAGTATTAATAGATACTACCCTTCCGAAGCCATGCACAATACATCTTCCCAAGCCATGCATGATGAACTTTCCCAGGAGCATTAATGGACATTACTCCATCCCAAGCCAGGCATATTACCTCCTCCCAAGCAAATTTAAATTCAAATTCTGACATTCCCTCCTAATTTTCCTCAAGCCAAAAAAATGTAAATGAAACCCCCTGGCTTTACTATAAATTCCAGAAAAAAACTCCAAAATACCCTTGTCTTACCCCCCACACACGCACAAAAAAAAAAGTAGAAGAAAAAAAACCCTAAAAATTCGAAAGAGAAAACACAGTCAATAAAATGTTAACACAAAACTTTCTTTTATTTTCTGCATCACATGCTTAGTCAAGCTTGTTTTCCAACTTTGCTCGAGTCAGATGTCTAATGTCATATTTACCCTATGACTAATGACCATAAACCAGGTAGAGCTGCTCCTATCTAACTTGGTAGTTGAAATAATAGAGATGGAGGATTCAAGGTCAAGTGGATGGCTAATTAAAAGCTCTTTCACTGTTCGTTATTTTTGTCCTCCTCTTAGCCTACCATGTTAAAAAGAAAGTTTGAATTGTTTCACTAAGCTGCAGTTGTAATTTTTGTAGAACAAAGGCCCGATAAACTTACAATTAGATATTCCTCGATCGCAGAGAGAGAGAGAGAGAGGAAATGCATAAGTTGTTTTTCTAAACATTTATTGATTTATGTGTTTATTTCTATTTGGATTTGCAGTTGTGTTATTTGCATCCGTCCAAATACAAGTTTGAGCATCCCCGGTTTTGCTTTGAGCGGCTGGAGTATGTAGGCCAGAAGATTCAGGTAATGACATCAAACTTCTCAAATATCAGCAAACAACACACCAGTTGTGTATGGGGCATGGTGCAGGGCATCCACCATCCTGGATGATGGATTTCCATTGCCTCTAATCAGGAATAGACAGCGGATGCCCTTTATATGTCATACATCACAGGCCTGTGGTGGTTCTTATTTTCATCTAATTGATACCTTCCAACCAGTGTTCAACGACTCGGCCAAGTCAACTCGGACTCTGCTGTTGCTTTTCCAAGTACTCCAGTAAAACTCGGGGTATTTAAAAAAATCTTAAAAAACATATTAAATGGTTAATCAATCTATCAATATTTTAAATGTACTTTGGATGTTTTTGACAATGATTTGTAAGTTCTTTGTGTCATATGCCCTTTTATATTTGGGTGCGGCTTGCTTGCATAAGGTTGCTTCCTTGAGCAATCAAAGTAAGGCACACCTCCAAATTTTATCATAAAAATGTAATTTTGGTATAAAAAATTCTTAGGATGGCCTGAGAATCTATTTTCATCTTTAATTATAAAATTTTAAAAGTCTAAAAATAGTTTAAATCAAGTAAGATCTATAAACATGTGAAAATTTTGAAAATGGATGGTCCAGATAGTGTGTTACAATTTTTTATTTTCCATACATCTCGATGTGGAGATAATCACCAATTTTTTATTTTCCATACATCTCTATGTGGAGATAATCAATTATGGGAAAGGTTTCTATGCTTCCCTTACAACATAGAAGTTCTATCCTCCCCCTACCATCCAGCCGTCCAATTTTGATCAAGAGAGCCACTCACCGTTTGATCTTAGATCCCACGTCTCAAAGTATTTTATTTTTAGTTTTTTTTTATACAAATTGCATGAGTATGAAATTTGGTACGTGCCATCTTCTCATTGGAGCACACCAATAAAAATATTAAAAATAAATTTTTGATAAAGTATAATGACCAAAATACCCCTTGAAACTTTCAGGAGTATTTTGGTCATTTTATTTTATTGAGAATAGTTTTTTTATATTTTTCGCTAGTGCGAGTTTAATAGAGGAATGGACATGCAAAATTTGGTGTCAAAATAGTTTATAAAAAAGAAAAATAAAAATAAAATAATGTAGAGACGTGACATTATGATTGGGGCAATCTTAACCCTCCATTCAGAATGGACGGTTGGATAAGGGGGAGGATAGAACTTCTATGCTGTAGGGGAAGAATAGAAAGCTTGCCCATCAGTTATAGGGTTTTCCAACAACAAAAGAGCCTTTTCCAATGGATTTTTGAGTTGCACCTTAATTCTACAGCTTAAGGTTGCAACCTTATAAAAACTTTTTCGTTTATATTTTCTTCTTTATTTGAATTTGTCTAAAATGTCTCTAGCTATATATCAATTTTTTTTATTATATAAAATCCATGTTTTACATAGTTTTTAGCTTATTGGACTTTTATTTTGTTTTTGGCTGTTACATTTACTATTTTTCTGAATTTTTTTAGCAATTGTTGCTTTTTTATATTTTTTAACTAGCTTGGGCCAGGCTGAGTCCACCCAGCTGAGTTCTGAAACGATTGCTTTCAATAGTGATACAAGTGCACAGCCCCATTTCTTGCCTTAGATGTCAAATTACTCCTCTCTCTCTCTCATGGTCCAGTGCCAATGAGTACATGTTTCATCTCTTGCTCAGTCTCTTTTTGGGGGGCACAGTGACAGTGAGTCTCTCTCTCTCATTGAGGGTAGAGTGACTGAGTACATTTTTCTTCCCTCTTTCTTTCTCTCTCTAGGACCACCACAACCATTAACATGCATTTCAACAATGTCAGGATCTTGTGATGGCGGAGAGACTACTAATGAAGCACCTCGATGCTCCTGGTCGATGGATTCAAGAGAGGCATCGACGCCTTCTCATGAACAAGTTTTGTGGCCGTTATCTGCGTGATCTCAAACTCCACCCCTTTATAGTCTATGGTGAATCTGTTTTGGACGCTTATGAGCACAATCGCAGGCTTAGAAACCCTGCAACCACAGCTGTTAATCAAGCTCTTCATGGCCTCTCTTATGTTGTTTATGGGAAGCCTGATGTTAGGCGCCTCATGTTTGAGATATTTGATTTTGAGCAGGTTCAACCAAAACCAGTGTAGAAATTAATGTTATTTGAGAAGGCTCTCTTCTGTAAATTATGAGCATTTCAGTTTTGGGTCTCTGTTAATTTGATTGAATTTTGTTTGTATCAGATGTTTTTTAGTTATTCTGTTTTTGATCTGGAGAGGTTTTTACTTTGTTGTGTTCTTGTTTCGTGTGGGGGAATCTCACTCTCTCTTGTAGGCCGCTCAGAATTTCTAGCTACTACTGAAGAGAGAGAGAGAGAGAGCATAACAGGGTTTAAAGAAAGGGAAGTTCACAATGAATATCCTGTAGGTCTGGGCGGTCAAGGTGGTATGATGCTACAACTTGACGTCTTGTATTTGTTGGCTGAAATTTGTTTGGAATGTCAAAATATTCGAACTTTTTGACTCCATTGGAGCATGCAAGGGGTGGCCTTCCCCATTTCTTCACTAACCCAAGCAATACCTATCATGTATGAACCCACAATTTTTTCTAAAAACTTGAAATTTGAAATTTGGGTCTTCTAAGATCCTACAAATTCTAAGGAAGAAATAGCTAAAAGGATGCTCCTTGAAGTGGAAGAAGACTTATTTCATCTCAATATTCTGTTTTCAAGAATGATTTTCAGTCAGTTCCTGCAGCAATCAATCCCCTTGGAACCCACCCAACCTACCTCTAAAACCTTCATACCAGCAGGAAACAGATGCCACAAGGGTACCCTATTAAATTAAATTCCCAAAGACTTCTACTTCTTGCCCTGTATCAGAGAATGGCTATATGCCCTGTATGCAAAAATGGCTATACCACCAGAGGAGGGACTTCTTTAAAACCTAAATTAAAGTGTTGTTTTGGAACATCAGAGGACTTGGAGATGTTAGCAAGACAAGGGTAATCTCAATGATTGTTAGAAGATGGAAACCCCAAATCATCTTTCCCCAATAAACAAAAATTCCTGTCGTGGATGTCTCGTTTTGTAATTCCTTTTGAGGTTGAGGACCTGTTTTTGCTGGTTTTTCTTCTGTTAGTTTGACAGGAGATTTGTTAATGGTATGGGATCCCTCTTGTGCAAAGGGTTCCAATTTTGATGTAAAAAATATAATGATTTCTGTGTGTTTTAAAGGAGTGGTGGTCAATGTCTTGTATCTATCTATGGCCCAAACTCTCCTATTTAAAGGGAGGACTTTTTAATGAAGAACAATTGTTTCATGCGGGAGGACTTTTAATGAAGAACAATTGTTTCATGCGGGCTGGACTGCATTTTTACAATATGTGGTCCTGAGATATAAAGCATTCATCTTAAGGATGGATGAAAACAGGTGGTCGTTCTAAAAACAATTGTAACTAACGGTCCAAATGTTTTCTTAATATAATATTATTTTTAGTTTTCAATTTATTTTTATTTTTTTTCATATTCATTATCTCAATATTAAAGATTATATATTCTCTAAAAATTATGATCAAATTATTTTTAAAACATATATTTATTGCCAAAGCCCGCATTTCTACAATATGTGGGTTGGCCGCATGCTAACCAATACACAAACTAGGATAATACCATGTATAAGAAGGTTTAATCAGTTTATTCATCAGAATGTACTACTGAAACTTTCAATACAACTCAACCAAAATTTGTGCCCAACATTGATCTTGTATAGGTCACAAATTCCTAGGAAGTTAGATTCCCAAAAGTTGTAGTTAAAGCTCTCCCCAAAGGAAATTAGAATTTAGGGAATTGATGTGGCAGATAGTCAATGCTAATTAGGAAACAATTGAAGATTTCTTTAGAAAAGCATTCGCAACAAATGATAGAATTGAATTCTCTTTGGATATAATCCCATTTTCAAGAATTACATACCAACAGGCATCCATTTTAGAAAGATAGTTCACACTTGATGAAATCAAAGAAGTATTGGTCAACCTCCCTGAGATAAAGCATCCGGTATTCCTTTGGCTTTATTCCAAAGCTTTTGAGATGTAATTAAAAATGATTTACTTTATGTTCCCGGAATTCTATCAAAATGGCAGAGTGAACAAGGCTGTAAACTCTACCTTTGTAGCCTCGTTCCTCAAAAAACAATTGATTAAAACACTCACATAAATTAGACCAATCAGCCTGCTGATGATTCCATATAAGTTTATAGCTTAAGTTATTGCCAACGGACTAAAGACTATTTTGGGAAAGGTCATTAGAGGCCCCTCAATCACATAATGGATAGCATTTAATGGCATAAGAAACGATTCATTCTAGGAAAAGGGATAAAGAGTTAGGGATAGTTTGTAAGCTAGATTTTGAAAAAGCCTATGACATGATTGAACGAGATTATTTGCTACAAATAAAGAGGAGTTTGGATTTTGGAAAATAGTAGAGGTCATGGATTTTAGGATAGCTTTCATTGACTCACTTCTTTATTAATGGTCGATCAGTTGGCTACTTCAGTGAATGAGGGCTTGTTGAAAGGATTCTCAACCTCCCCGAATGGCCATTCTACCCCACTTGCAATATGATGATGACACGCTAATTTTTGGTGAGGCCCCAAATTAAAAACTTGGGGCTTCCCCATATGCTATCAAAATCTCTAGTTTCAAAATAAATCACAAAGACAAAACTGATTTGATTAAATTGTGTATCAAAATCTCTAGTTTCAAAATAAATCACAAAGACAAAACTGATTTGATTAAATTGTGAGGAAACTGATGTAATTATTTGGGTTGCTCGGATGCATTGTAGGACTTCAGCTTGCAAATATCTTGAACTACCGCTGATAAATACTTGACCTTCAAGATCCTTGTGGGAACCCAGTATAGTTGAGAGGTTCAAATTCAAGTAGGATATATGGAAGGCAAGATACCTATCTCTTTGTGGGACAACTACTTTGGTTAAGCCCCCACTATCGAATCTCCCAATATGTATATGTAAATCCAAAGCTAAAATCATTTATCATCTTTTTTTGTACTGCCTTTTTCGGGTCATTTATGGGGCTGCTAAACCTACTCCAATTGCAATTTGTTACACCACGCTCTATTTCTTACCTTCTTTTGTAAAGGTCATTCTTACCTTTGTCGATAAATGTTATTAAATTTGGGGTAAAGTTAGGGGTGGCAATGGACCCGGACCCGAACCCGATCTCAGTCTCTATATGGGTCTAAAAATTGGACCTGGCGGGTTGGGTCCGGGTTCAAATCTTGGACCCGAATACTATTCGGGTCCGGGTCCGGGTCCGGGTCCGGTAATATTTTTTGGGTCCCAATATATGAAATATATTTAAATATAATTAATACATAAATATTTTAACTTTTGGGTCGAGTTCAGGTCTGGGTCCGAGCCTGCGTCCCACACTATATTTTTCAGGTGCAAGTCTGAGTCCGAGTCCCATAACATGTTTGGAGTTCGTCCCACCCCTAGGTATAGCGGTGGCAGCTCTAATCTGGCAGGTTTCGAGGGAAAGAAATAATAGAACATTTGAAAACAAATCTATCTCATTTGCCTATTGAATGCTCAAGAACTTATCTCATATGTAACTAAAGAGACAACATGAGAGTAAGATACCATTGATGGGCTGGGCCAGTCCATGTCCGAGGCCAAGATCGGCTCGGGCTTGGCCCAAAATCACGATTACGACGGCCAAGCCCCCAAAATTGGGCAGGGCCTCATTAATATAGAGAATATTTTCTCTTTCGAATATGTGCAATATGTGAATAGAAAATTTTCTGTCCAGGCCAATGTTAACTTTTGCCTAAATCTGGGCCAGCCCAATAGCCCATGGGCCATCTAGGCCCATTAGCAGCCCTAATACCAAGTAGCTCATGTTAATGTACTTGATGTGATTCGATGTATGTTTTTTCCATACAAATGTGGTGTATTTTGGCTATTATAAATGGACACAGTTTCCATTAGTCCATGTAGAAATGAATCCCTCCTTAAAAATCTATTTTTAACGTGGATTCTTGGACCCAATTTTTAATTATAATCTCTAGCATGGAGATCATGAATATGAAAAAATAAATAAATTTTTATAATTAAAAATAATAAATTTATGAAGAAAACATTTGGACCGTTGTTTTTAGATGGACAAGATGATGGATACTTTATATGCCGGGAGATACAAATGTAGAAATGCGCCCTCCGACATATGGAACAATTTTCCTTATAAATTTTATGACGGTCATGTACATAAGTATAGAGTTTGAATTTGAAAATATAATACCTGTACGGATCATTCTCTTGTTTTGGATGGTAAGGTGCATCATCGGTCTTACTTTTAGTGTTTGAAATCTATAATACAAATTACAACCTAAATAAGGTCAATAAGAAAGATTAGGATGGGCAATGGGCCAGGTGTCCCGGCCCATCTGTCCAACTCTTAAAAACTAGATTATAGGCCACAAAATGAACTATAGCATTGTTCACAAAATGTAGCCTTAGGGCTGGGCTAGGACCAGGGTCCCTTTCAGCTTAGCCCAAGCCGGGAGGTCAGGCTTGAAATGGCCTTGTATGGACGTAGATGAGGTTTAATCTAGTGCTGGTCCAATTAAAATCTGACATGTTGCCAGGATAAAGTAAAAAAAAAAAAAAAGAAGAAGATAAGTCAGCTTTGTTTGGGACAAGCTTCAAGAATTTGAATCCTTAACATCATCAACGAACCTTGAGAAAGAGTAACCCCTAGGGGTGAAGGCTGGGGTCTTTCAATCATCACATATGTAATTGTGATCATGGACAAAATTTCAATTTCTGATGGAAAATGTTTATATAAGGTTGATTCACCTTAAAAATCTAATAAGAAAAGAGTTTTCTAAAGTTCAAAGACATCCCAATTGATCATCTTGACT